AAAATTGGAGACTCTACGATTGTTTCAAAAATATAGATGACAAAAATTTTGGTAAGATGAAACTTGTTGAATGCATGCTTTGAAATATTTTTGAAGTAAGCGGTGTTCCTGGGCAGTGTACATAGTTTTAACAGTGGTTTGCGGCCTTGTCGAGTGTGGTCCGCAAGTTTCACTTGTAAACAGGCCTACATGATCCTGTAATGACTGCACCTTTGTCTTCTTTTATTGTACTTTTCTTCACTTATTTGCCTCTTGAGGTTTTGATAGAGGTGTAATGTTTGACAGTTGGAGTGGCCTAAATCAGTAGGTAGCAGTGTTGGGACATTATTGCTGGGTGTTATCCATGGGAAATCTTTCACCCTGTAATCACCTACACCAAGTGTGATAAACCACATGGTGTGCTTGACAGCTAGCTTGAACTGTTTATCAAAACAATATTGCAGCACTCCTTAATCTCTAGGGGGATTATGCCTTCTTGATTGATTGTGTGTGCATGGGAGTGTGAGCTGAACTTGTCACCGGGGCATGACAGATGGATTTTTTTTTATCATTATTATTATTATTATTATTATTATATATATTTTTTCACTGAATTTGATTTTTTTTCCTGAATCAATTTAATTTTTTATTTATTTATTTTTTTTAACTTTGCCATCTCACTAGCCCCTGTGGAATGGAGTTGTACTATAGATTTAGCTGTTTAATAATTTATGTTCACCATCTTTTCTGCATACTGTTGAGTTACACTGTAGGATCTAAAATGTTTTTGTGCATGTTTTCTTACTACAATGTTATATAACTTGTCTCATGTTTTGGTTTAGTAGCTTTTGGTATTTATTGCATGCTGCATGATGATAGCACATTTAACAGTCATACCAAAAACTCAGGTCATTCAGAAAATCATCGACAACTTTCCTTGGTATATTTAATGGGTTGAGAATCATGTACTCATTGCTTACCACAAGGAGGACTGAAAAGAAAGTATATTTGATGAAAACAAAGGTATTTAATCCTTTGTTTCTAGTATATGTCTGGTGGGTTTATTCACTGAATATTCTCAGCTGCTTTAGTAAGGAAAATGATCTAGTTTACTACCAGTAAGTATTCATGTACTTAACTCTGGAACCAAATTTCAGTTTTTATAGTAATTTTAACGATATTACAAGCCTAGAATTGACGCAGCCATGATGAAGTATCCTTAGAGAGTATATTGATGGTTCTGAATAAGAGCTTCAGCATTACTGTAGTCAAAAGAAAGCCAGGGGGAGCAATAAATATATTCTAGATTTCTTTAATCTGTTTTTATATGTAGCAAAAAGTAATCTTGGAAGCTAAATACATTAAGCTGGTGATGGAAGACTAAAAGCATTTAAAAGGTGTGTCTAATATCTCATTGAGCATGGTTTTGGGGAGAGCCATTTTGCCTGAGTTTTTGAATGTGCCTGCAATTCTCTGTAGTTGGGTAGTTAGATTTGTAATATGTACTCCAGGACCCGCTTACTAATGGAAACTTTTCCCTCTTTTTTCCCGTTCAAAGATCGATCTATTACAGTGCCTATGCTGACAGGCCCTACCCGGACCCATACATCGCGGCTGCATCCGGAATTGGACCAGTGGCAGGCTACGGAGTAAGTATAGCCAATTTTGTATTTTAAGTTTTCTTTTAGACTTGAATATGTTTATAAGTAAAAGGACTGAAATAGCAATCAAGCAAGTAACACAATATAGTATCAGTCTTAGACTGACATAAACAATTTTATATTTATTAATTCTCTGCCTCTCACTTCGCTTATGCTAATGATATTTTATTTGTTTCAGGCGGTCTACAGAGGCAGCTACAATCGATTTGCACCATACTGAGGACTTCACATGTGCATTCATCAAATAACATGACAATGCTGTTATCAATTGCTCATTAGAGACTATGTTGGTCTGTGTGACTGTATAATTATATATAAAAAAAGGACTCTGCTCCCAGCCCTTGACCATCTCTTGTAGGAAAGTCCCTTAGAGTGTTATCACATTGCTTGGCTGGCAGAGTCTGGCTGTCAGTGCGACACACGAGGACCAAGTATCCCCTGTGGCAGCTCATTACTGCTTGCTACTTGGGGCTCATCCAAAATGACAGCTTATGGTAAATGAGGCACAGTTACCTGGATGCCCCCATGCCATGGATCCATCAGCAGTTGCTTCCTAAGCCTAAGGACTGGTGGCAGAATGTTGGTGGTTGTGCGAGTGTGTTGTGTGCCAGACCGGAACTGTTGTTGTTTGAAAGGTGACTGTAGTTGAGTGGCATCCAGTTTGCACAACAACAGATGGCTGGGGCTGGAAGGTGGTGTGTTGCCAACCACACCAACCTGACCAACACATGGACTCTGTGCTGTTGTTACCATTTTCCCTCTACCATTTTGTATGAAGGGTCTTGTAGTGAATTTCTGAACAATTTGGAAACCTCAGTTCCAACCCATGTAGGCCATTTCTGAGTCAGTGGAGTACCATAATTTGTTATGTTGAGAGTAGGCATGGCCCATTTCATACAGCAATTATGAAATGATATAGTGCATTTTTAATGTATTCAACGAAACATTTGACAAGTGTGACTCATATAACCTATACTTGTACAGTGTATGTTTACACTCTTAAGATATACTTGATAACCAGTTATGAATCTCAACTTCTGATAGCCCTATTGATATTAGCTATAGAATCTCATTTCCTTTATTACTTCCACTAAGAGTTTTTAATTTTTCATGTCTGAGTGCACTGTTTGCACTTGCTATTTCTGAACGTAAAGTTATTTTATACAAGGTGCAATGTCAGAACATCATTCATCCTAAAGGCATTGTATTAAGAATGTTTTTGGTGTTATATAGATTTTTGTATGATGCAGAACCCCACATATAAGGTCACATGTAGGTCCTAAGTCACAAAGGGTATGATTCTGTCAAGACATTTTATTATTATTATTATTTTTATTAATTATTATCACATCATCGTCATTGCTATTGTAACTTGTTAAGTTGGAAATTATCTCATCAGTTGTAGCCAAGACAATCACATTCTTATTTACAAAATGACAGCATGGGACTAAAGACATGATTACCATGCTTGGGTTTGCTTTTATGAAAGTGTGTGGGTTCTCCAATATACCTCTTTTTTTCTTTTTTTTTTAGGTCAGTACATTTTTGTAGGTTAATTCTCCTTTCCCTGTACAATATTTGTAAGTTTGCACCAAACTGTTGAAAATCAAAGTGTTTTAGTGATGGACAGCACAATCATTTTCTCCATATGCCCAAAGTGATGTGTCTTTGTGGATATTCACTCTGTGCATTTCCCAGTAGCTATGTGATCAGTCTGTATAAATATGTGAGCCGTTTTCATTAATGCTCATCTTAATGACAAGTGTATTCATTATGATATTATTGTGTCATCAGTGTCCGAAGTATCAGTGACGAGTGTCTTTTCTCATGTTTTGTAACTGATGGCTTCTGCTGTGTATTGCAGTGTGGCAGTGTGGGTGTAAGGTGTAGTGGTGTTCGCACAAACCCTCAGGTATCTACCGGCTTGACCGATACGCCCGACTGACAGACTCGCCTACAGCCACATTAGCCACCTGCAATGTCTTCTTGCACACTTCTCCCTCTTTATTGTGCAGTTTGTCAATCATCCAATTTGTGTTGCAGTGTCTTGGTTTCTTTCTGCTGTGAACCATTGTTTTGCTTACCTTTGGGTCAACTTGACACTTCAGGACAAGGAAGTTGCAATCATGCATTTCCCCCGATTGGCACAATATCAATTAGTCATTAGGTGCAATAGGGACTTTCACAACATTTTTCCGGGTTTTTAAATATTTGATTTTGAGGCATATGAAGATATAACCTGTCCTAGATCCTGGATTGTGACTTGTCCATAGAGAAGCTGACCACATGGGGATTGTCAGAACCAAAGATATCAGTATTTGTCCAGTCTGCAAGTCTCCACTCTGTGCTATGCTTAATGCCACTATCTTAGTTTTAAACGTGCATAATGTTTCCTGTATTTTTTCTTTTCATTTTTTTTTCCTTTTTTTTATTTTGATCTGAGAGGTAAAGTGGCAGCCTGGAATCATTTAAACTGAACCAAAGATCTACAATTGTTGTCTTTTGTGCCATTGTGCATATTGATATTGCTGCATTGGGGATTAAGTGTAGGATCTAAGCCAATGTTTTTGACAGATACTTATTCAATTCCCAGCTTTAAAGCTTGTACTTGGCCAGATACATTTGGCCCACAAATGTAGCGGTATGTACCATACTTGGCACAAGCCTGTAGACAACATAGTGCAGCAGTGTTAAATCTTGTGCAGCTAATTGTGGTCCTTATGCTCTTGGAGATGAAATGGCAGCCATTTTGGAATAAAAGCAGCTACACCCTCTCAGAGTAAAGAGTATTGAAGTAATTAAGGTATTTACCCTACTCAAGGAATGCTTGATAGGTTACAATTCACAGTGCAGGAAAGAAACCAGACAATAGAGATGTCAAGTCTTCCTTTTAGCACAATGGATAATTTGTGTCGTGTTGTGAATCCGAGCACAAGAGAGATTAAATTATTGATTCCTTCAGTCAAGCACAATGGTGAATAAATGTGTATCGTAACGTCCAGTAAGATGATATTTTGTTTGTGTTCATTATTCGTAATCAATGTAAGAAACTTCACCATTTTTGTATAATGTATTATTGTGTAATGATATTTAGTAATGACAGAGAGTACTAGTTTTAGACAACTTTTTGCTCCTTTTAAACCTGATTGTGGTACTGTACAAATCTGCCCTGTGTTTACTCTGTATAATAAATAAAAATATGGATATTATTCATAGTTTCCCTGAGCCTTTGCAGTTTCTTGTATTTTCATGCATTGGTACTTTTCTTCATTATTATTATTATTATTATTCTCTGTCTAATGTATGGCCAGAAATATCTGTAAAGCTTTCTTTTTATCAAGGAATAAAACAAAGATGATAGATCTATTTTGTTTTATGACATATTCCATGAATCACAGATCCAGGTTCAGACATACTAAGGGTCACTGAAAATGTTCTTACAGGCATAATATTGACTTATGTAGTCAGAAATATTATGAAATGTTAAGATTCAACAAATTCTCAGCATAACAATCTATTTAAACTTTGTTTAAATGTGGCACAAAATTGTTGAAGAGCTAACTAAAATAAAGGTATCCTCTTCGGAGAATGCAGAATACTGTAGGATACACTTTCCCCCAAGTCAGATGTTCTACTTGTCATTACTAAATAGTTCTAATATCAGTCCCCAAGCTTATAGTATTGTTTGATACAATGCGACTAGTCAACACAAGATAATCCATTCATGTTACAGTATAGCAAGATAGACAACACTTATGCATACAATATGGATACAGATATGTCAAGTTTAGCCCAGGAGTAAGATGATGATGATAAATATCACAAATAAATGAAGGGAGTTGTCTAGGGAAGAGAAAGAGTAATTCAAGGTTCAATATATGTGACATAAAGCTTCAACTGACCAAAATTCCTCACTCAGAAGGGGAATTATTAGATGTGCACTTAAATGCATGGTTCTAGCATAGCTTCCAGAGAAGTCAAGATTCTGTCCTCAAATTTTTTAACATTAATCACACTCAATAGGGTTTGCAAAGAGAAGTGCACCTGCCACATCAAACAATGACATCACAGCTTTGCAGGTTAGTACTGGAGAGGAAGTCTACATATCACATAGATATCTATACCTGTCCACAAATAACACTAGATGATACATGGTAATGATGATACTGTGCTACTGTTCACACTAAAGCTACACTGGCTGTTTTCCTACTACCTGTAGTGGTTTGCCAAGTGAGCCTAATGTGTGACAGTCAAAGGTGATGTCAGATGTTGAGAGGAGGTTGTGTTAATGATTCACTCAGGTCCATATCCTGGTAACTTTTGAGGTCAGTAGTAGGTACATCCTCAGTAATCATAGCATCACTGCTGCTTCCATCACTAGTGTCAGCTCCTTTTACTTGTCCATCAAACTGGTCTCCATGCTCCTGATTGCCAAACTGGTCCCTGTGCTCTCGACTACCAATACGACTCGTATGTTCTTGGCCACCAAAGTGTTCGTTATGCTCTTGGCCGCTGAAACGATCCCGCACCTCTCTTCCTCCAAAGCGTTCACTGTGTTCTTGACTACCAAATCGTTCATTATGATCTCGACTTCCAAAGCGATTCCCATGATCCTGTGCTCCAAAGCGGTCAGAATGATCTTGGTTGGAAAATGAGGCTGTTTGATCTGTTGTTAATGCTGGGGAAACTGGCTTGAATAAGTGAGGGGGAGGATCAGGAGTTGGGGCAGGGGTTTCAGCCAAGGATGCTGGTGAATATGGTGCTGTGGAAAGACCAGGGGATCCAGAGGAACATACAGATTCTGGAGTACCAACACTCCCAAGTGACCCTGGACCTGCAGGGCTTGGTGTACTCTCTAGACTGCCAACACTGAAAAGAATCAATATTCAGATTATATATTTAGATGAAATACAATCCCTAAGCACAAAAAGATTTTAAATATTAAAATCAACTACACTTTCATGCATTATACATAGCATTCATCACTATAAAACAGCAGAAGTAGAAACAAGAGCACATAATTATTACTATTTTCCATGAATATCATATCATCCTCGCATACATCATTTAAAAATACAATTGCAAAAATATATAAAAATCAGAAAAAAAAATTCAAAATGAGTTTTACTGAAAACCTCTCTTACAAATTGAAATAAATTCGATTCTATATTTATGAAGGACAATTTTGATATTCTAGCTCTACAGCAGCTAATTTTAAACAAAATACTTAACAGATCATGAAATATTACCACTATTACCCCTACTGCTACCCTGATATGGATCCATGATTCTATAGGGTTATTTACATCTACTTTGACCAAAAATTCTGATTAAATAGGAGGGAAAAGATTAATGCCAAAAGGGTTAGAATCCAAAAACATAATAAAAGTCACTAACCTGTGAGGCTGAGTAATAAGTAATCCCCCTATGCAGCGATCAGGGGTGCATGTGGAGGCACGCTTGCTAGGCGTTAGGAAGGGTTCGCAACGTTCATCCATTTCCCACTTGCGCTTGAGACCTGCTCCAAGGGGTGATGGCCGTAATGCAATGGGACTTAGGCTACGTCTTGTAGCAAAAGTCTTTTTAGTAGGAGATGGAGAGGGGCAGAAGGAGGTGTTGCGGACATGTTGCTGAAGGGAAGGGGAGAAGCACTGACGTCCAACACCCCTTGTAGGGGAAGCACCACATCCAGTGAGGGGAGCCACTGTTGGGACTATGGTTAGGTGTAGAGGGTCTGTATAATCTCTACGCACAATGGGCATGCCTGTAGTTCCAGTAATAGAACTTGATACACTTGAAGCCACACTACTGCTGGGTACATTAATGGAGCTGGCCATAGTGCCAGGTATACTTCCACCACTCACACTGTGAGACTTTGGCCGGGCAACATCTTCAGTCTGTTGAGAAAAAAAAATATAAATAAATAAAAAGAAAATAAATAGAAAGATTACACATGGCATCCCCCCCCCCACACACACACACAAAAACTAAAAAGAGAGAGAGAGAGAGAGAAGAGAGAGAGAGAGAGAGAGAGAGAGAGAGAGAGAGAGAGAGAGAAGAGAGAGGAAGAGAGAGAGAGAGAGAGAGAGAGAGGAGAGAGACAGAGAGAGAGAGAGAGAGAAGAGAGAGAGAGAGAGAGAGAGAGAGGACGAGAGAGAGAGAGAGAGAGAGAGAGAGAGAGAGAGAGAGAGAGAGAGAGAGAGAGAGAGAGAGAGAGAGAGAGAGAGAGAGAGAGAGAGAGAGAGAGAGAGAGAGAATGTAGGAATGTATCTTCTGCACCACTACCTAAACAAAGTCACAAACAGTAATAAGCCCTTGATAATCAACCATGAGCCCCCCCATCCCTATCCCCACTCTAACAATACCAAAATACCAAAATATACCAGAAAATCAAATGTAGCAAATATATAAATCAGCTATCCAGGTCAAGGCCAACATGAGACCTTCCTATGACTGTTTGTATCCCAAATGTTCTAAAATGGCTTCTATGTCTGTCTGGCAGCACAGCCAGCTTCTAAGGAGCTGCCATAGTGCCAATTACATTACTTCCAAATCTCACACTGTTGAGTATACTTTAAAATCAGCAACAACTTCCAGGTCAAGGGAAACATGAAGACAAATATTCATAAATAAAAAGAAAATAAATAGAAAGATTACACATGGCATCCCCCCCCCCACACACACACACAAAAAAAATAAAAGAGAGAGAGAGAGAGAGAGAAGAGAAGAGAGATCGAGAGATGAGAGACGAGAGAGGCAGAGAGAGAGAGAGAGACAGATGAGAGAGAGAGAGACAGAGAGAGAGCTTGAGAGAGAGAGATGACGAGAGAGAGAGACGAGAAGAGATGTGAAGAGAGAGAGAGAGACGAGAGAGAGAGAGAGAGAGAGAGAGAGAGAGAGAGAGAGAGAGAGAGACGAGAGAGATGAGAGGTGTAGGAAGTATCTTCTGCACCCACTACTAAACAAAGTCACAAACAGTAATAAGCCCTTGATAATCAACCATGAGCCCCCATCCCTATCCCCCCACTCTAACAATATCAAAATACCAAAATACACCAGAAAATCAAATGTAGCAAATATATAAATCAGCTATCCAGGTCAAGGCCAACATGAGACCTTCCTATGACTGTTTGTATCCCAAATGTTCTAAAATGGCTTCTATGTCTGTCTGGCAGCACAGCGGTTTGGTAAGGGTTAATAGTTTAAAGCAAATAAATGTGCTTGACATTGAAGATCATAGAGCACTCTGGTAAAGAATTCTGGTGAAAAGGGTAGAAATGAGGTATTTGAACAAAATGGGTTAGATGTCAATGGTTATACAGCACTAAAGGAGAGCATGGAAGTGAAAAGGGTATAGAGGGAGAGCAAATGAGATAAAGCAGGGATTAGTAAAAGAGGGCTTAAGGGTGAAGGGCAACTAGATTAATTGGAGGGTCTATATGTGTCTGAAGGAGAACAAGTTTTCAAGGGAAAATGTGGGGGATTCCGTGAGGATGTCTAACAGGTTGGAGCATTGGGGAACAGACGACAAGTGAGGAAGAGCACAGGTATGGGGATAGGACAACAGAATGTGCGGAACTTAAAAATGAACTCTTATAAAGTAATCAATAGGTAATTAGAGTGGAGATGGGTGTCAGTGAAGTATGAGAAAGAACCTGGGGAATGATACAAGGAACCAGGGGAAGGACACTATTGTGACAAAAGGGATTTAAGTGAATATCCAGGAGGAAGTGGAAGGTATAATGGGAAAAAAGGGGAGGGGGAGGGGTACATGGAGAATGGAATGACGGGGTGTGTTGGGGAGAGAGTTAGGAGGAAGGAGGGATAGATGTTGGCAGTCAATTTGAATGTAGAAGGAATGGGAGTAGAGATTTTAGAGGGTACATGAGGGAGGGGAGCATTCTTTTGGGTTATGTTTACATAGTTTTGGATGTCCTCAAGAGATTTTGGAGAGGAGTTGAGTGGGGAGGAATGAGAAACAAATGAGAAGAGACAGAAGAAAATGTAGGAAAGAGTGTAGAAGATAAAAATCCAGTGGACAGTCTAGACTGCCAAGTACAGCAAGTAAAGTGAGGAGGAGGGACATGCACTGAAGAAGTAGTACAAATTGGAGCATCTGGATTTAGAATGGCAAAGGAAGGAAGTGATACTGGGGGAGAAGCAGAGAGAAGGGTGAGAAATGAAGCAGTGGGCAAAGAACCAAGGGAGATATAATCTTGTTGGCATAGAGTCCAAATTTGGATCTGAACTGCTGCTACCTCATACTTCTTGGCAGAACAGTTCCTATAAAATACGTTATGGGAGCCACCACAATTAGCACATGTGCATTTTTGTGCAGAGCATTTTGAACAGTATTGACC